TGTTATTTCTAAATTCTAATAACTTGCACAACATTGTTAGTTTATTCATTTCAATTGTATATATGTTTATTTTTTCAGTGGAGTTTCTGGTGAGGGAAGTGGTGTGACAATCGAGGGATCGGCTCCCGTTGCAACCCCTCCTGCTGCAGAGACCAAGGCAAGATATAACAACCTAAATCTAATGGCATTTCAGTACCATTAAATTTGTTTTGTATTTGTTTGAGTTTGAAAAATCTCATCTATGGAACCTGGAAGAGTCATTGTTGACAATTCTCCTGACATAGTGGTAATAATGGACTAGATCAAAATGGCTCAATTAAATTCTAGTGCTTCTTCTATTAGTGAAGTTTCTAGAAAAAATATATCAAACGACACAACGCACTATGGGTCGCTATTGAAACAGTCTCCTTGTATAATTACAAGGGTAAGGTCTGCGTACCTGAGACCCCAACCTGTTGGGAATATACTGGGTATGTTGATGTTGATGATGATGAAAAATCTCATCTATGAGCTGAAATTGAGAACATAATATATTTCAGGCTGCAGCTGCTGAGGATGATGACGATGATGATGTGGATTTGTTTGGTGAGGAGACCGAGGAAGAGAAGAAAGCTGCGGAGGAACGTGCAGCTGCTGTCAAGGCTTCCTCAAAGAAGAAAGAATGTTAGTTTAATACTATTCTTTACTTGGAATAGATTTTGTCGGAAGTATACATTTTCTTTATAACACTCATCTTGTATTCTTCTACCAGAAATAAATTTATCTTGAGCACAGTGCTTAATACTGATTGTTTTCTTCTTATTTTCCTCGTCAGCTGGTAAGTCATCAGTCTTGATGGATGTAAAACCATGGGATGATGAGACTGACATGAAAAAGCTTGAAGAAGCTGTTAGAAGTGTGCAGATGGAGGGTCTTCTCTGGGGAGCTTGTAAGCTTTTTCTTTCCTCTTTTGTACGAACTAGGAATATTAACTGCTGTTAAATTGTGATAGCCCCAACTATTCTCATTAAGATACTTGCCTTTATCATGTGATCCACATTGTAACGAACATCAGATCAATCCTTTAATCTTGGATGAGAAATTATGTTTTCGTTTTTTGTGATCATTCGTGTAGCCTTATGATAAATGTGAGTTGTTTTTGAACCACATTTCAAGAATGACGAGTTCATGATATTTGTGGTGGTTGCAGCTAAACTCGTCCCGGTTGGATATGGAATCAAGAAATTGCAGATTATGATTACCATTGTGGACGATTTGGTCTCTGTTGATAACCTCATTGAGGACTATCTTACAGCCGAACCAATCAATGAGTATGTCCAGAGTGTCGACATTGTGGCCTTCAACAAAATATGTAAGTAATTCTAGAAATATCTAATTATGAACTGAGTTTTCCCTTTACAACTGTGGTTGTAAGAAAAAGGCATATTAAAAAAAAAAAGAAATGAAAGAAACTCGCAAACGCATTTATATAAATGGACCCTGCAGTTTCTGTGTGCTTCTGATGTTTTTGGGTTGTTTTCTTTTCGTTTGGTATATAACTGGGAACTTTTTGTTGCAGGATTTGTGTTCCAGGCTATAATTAGAGTGGCGATTTGTGGAGTAGAGTTGATCTTCACTTCATTGTTCGTCATATATTGCCACTTTTAATATATCGTAATGTGTTGGAATGACAATCTATGAAGTTTCTCGTGTTGCCAGTTTTCTATAATTTTCTTGTTTTGGATTCTGAGAATGATAAATTTATGATGTTTTTTCAAGATTTAAAACTTTTTTTTTAGTTGTCTATTGTGATTTTTGTTATTGTTTTGCCTGATCTATAGCTTTTTTTTTTTTTTTTCATGGAGTAACAAGCAAAAGGTGTTCCCTGTTGAGTGTTGAAAGTTCTAACTTTCAATAAGGAAAAAATTAAGCACCTAACATAATGAAAAATATCATTACACAAAATTAAAAATAATGTTTTCATAGTTCTTACACTAAGATTATTTTTTTATTTGAATCACAATTCAAATGATCAACTTCTCAAAATACAACAGTGAGAACAACTATATTACTATAGTTAGTTGTGTTTGGTGTTATTTTAAATCATAAATTATTTTATTGAAAATAAAACTCAATGTATGATGAATTGTATAAATAGTTGCAATATTTAATATTAAAAATTAACATGAAAAATAACATGATGTATATATTAAAAATAACATGGTGCACAATTAAAGCTAACACAATATATGATTTTTCTTGTTTTTATTTGAACCAGTCCTCATTTGCATGTTAATTATCTAGTCATGTATGTTTATGATCCGACAGGTCGTGATTTTGAATATGCATAATCGACGGTTCAGACCATTACCCACACTTGGTGAAGTTTATGGTCTTTTATTTTTATTTTCCGCCCCTTAACCGAACTAGTCGTGGCCGTGCGATGCACGAGATGATATATTTTTTTGGAACTTTTTCAATATTGAATATTAAATTTAACGGACTTGGTATGTATGTAACAAACATAAACAGGATGAACAAATTAAAAAAAAAATCATAAATTATTGAATACTTCGTTGTAGACTACGTTTTTTGTTTGATTTGGTGGCTAGTCATCGTCACCACAGACTAATAATTCAAATAATTTTGGCATATGGATTGGATAATAATAAATAAAAAATGACAAAAAAAAGTTATTTATCTCTTCATCATGAAAATTTATTCTAGCACATTTTTGTACTTGGCTTCGAATTTTCTTTTAAATATACGAACAACCCTTAGTTTCAAATATGACTTGTTTGTTTGAGAAACCGATTAAAAAAACAATACACAAGCGGCATATTAATATGGTGTAAAAAAAGAAATTAATCGGATTCTATACATTATTAGTAGCATAATAAAAATGCCTCCCTCGTCATTAATATGTTTGCATAGCTGAGAAGACGATTCCTTGTTGTCATATAGGTGCCGAATGTTAGACTCCCGGTGGAGATCTTCGATGGGACCTGTCATTTCGGCATGTGGCAAGGCGAGGTTCTGATGACTTGCCTTCCTTCTTCTCTCCCTTCCTTCGATGAAATACTAAAGACCACACTAGAACGCTATTCTTCCTCCTTCCCCTTTATGCTTAGGGTCGATGTAATTGAGGACTTCACTAGGGGATTTATGGGTGGGCGATGCATTCCATATCTCTGTGGGTAAAAGGTCTTTGAAAGGCCATCCGAATGATCTGTTATGGATATTTCATATCCTCCCCGGTCAGACCGAGCTGGTTGAGCAGCAGGAGGAGAATCGGTTTAATCCCCTCTTGGACGTTTTTGCCCTTCACTACTCTCTCTCTCTACTCTTTCCCTCTCGATTTTCTACGGCTCTTTTGACCA